ATTAAATTTAAATAGGGTTAGAAGGATGCGGTTACAGAAAAGCAAAACCCTTAAATTTAGCAAGGGAGGAAGGGAACAATAAAACAGGGAGGACGGGTGTAGCAACAAAACACCGTTAATCGATATACAGAGTATAATATAGTAAAATTATAATAAAATCAAATACATCAGCAGCTCCCTTAACGAAGTATGTTTATCTGATGTCATTTTGGACAGGCATTTGTTGCACAAAGAGACACCCGGGAAAAGTTAAGGAAACATTTTAGATAGGCTATTTCCAAAGGCGATTCTCTTTTTTTTTTAAAAGCACCTTTAAGACAACTATGACTTGGGTGACTGAGAATCTCCATCGACATGAATATACCCAAAGCTGCTACAAGGGAGAGGAGGGGTTGGTCTCTACTGCTGATGTCACTGTAAATGTTCAAAGGGGAGCAATTAAGTGAGGAGTAGCTCCCTGGAAAGCCTCTAGTTCCTACCACCAAGGGGGGGGGGGGAGAGAACATCCTGCTTCGTTCGGTAGCGTCTGTTTTCTTAAATACCAACCTGTGAAATACTTGCTGTATTCCTGTTCTATCTTCTGAGCCGTCTCAAATTGTTCTTTGGAATGTTTCTGTGTCACCTTGTCTTTCAAGAAGACAGGATCTTTTTGCTCCCTGGAAGACACAAATAGATGTACATATCAATCTCTATCTTATTAAATGCTGGGGTTTCTTCCGGGGATCCAGGGAAGACCAAAGGGATTTACAGCACAAGCTGACAGGAGGATGTGAGAGGACAGCGCCATCTAGTGCCCATGGAAGGAACAGCAAAATCTTCATCAATCACAATCTCCAGAGCAATCTCTGCTCTCAATAGAACAGAACAGAATAGAACAGAATAGATATTGGATCTAGAATAGAATAGAATAGATATTGGATCTAGAATAGAATAGATATTGGATCTAGAATAGAATAGAATAGATATTGGATCTAGAATAGAATAGATATTGGATCTAGAATAGAATAGAATATGGAATGAAATAGAATAGAATAGATATTGGATCTAGAATAGAATAGAATAGAATAGAATAGAATAGATATTGGATCTAGAATAGAATAGAATAGAATAGAATAGAATAGAATAGAATAGAATATGGAATGAAATAGAATAGAATAGATATTGGATCTAGAATAGAATAGATATTGGATCTAGAATAGAATAGAATAGAATAGAACAGAACAGAATATATAGAATAGAATAGAATAGAATGGAATAGGATAGATAGGATAGGATAGGATAGGATATAGAATATATAGAATAGAATATAGAATATATAGTATAGAATAGAGTAGAATAGAACAGAATAGAATAGAGAATATATAGAGTAGAATAGAATAGAATACAGAATATACAGAATATATAGAAAGAATATAATATAATAGAATAGAGTAGCATATCTTTATTGTCATTGTGTATCCCACAACAAAATTAACTGCTGTCAACAGCGCACACTACACACAAGTAAAAACCATGATAGCCCACAAACCCACAGCCACACTCCGCCAAGAATTATCCAGAACCAAAGGCAAGCTATGGAAGGATTTTCAGTAAAGTATTATTGCTCTTGGTAAAATCATGTCCCACGACTTTCTTTTTCTGGAAATGCCAACTGGACAGTTGACATTAAACCAGCTCTGGACACCTGGAATTGACTGGCTCACTGCCTTCTAAGCATTTTGAGGTTGACGTCAAAAAGGATGGCCATGGATCAGCTCGGAGGTCTTTCTGAAGGACTAAGAACTGGAAATATTTGCCATTGGAAGTGTTCTCTTTTACCACCATTTCATATAGCCATCGTCTTTTTCGTTCACCTCTTATAAATGCTAAAGCAATAGAGGTTTTGGCTTGATTTCTCCTTCCTCTTTTTGAAACTCTTCTCTGGTGTCCATGGATGGGAGAAGACCAAGACATTCCCATGGCTGTAGTCTTGACCGAGAATTTGCAAAAATGTCTCCCCAAAGACAACAGCAAGTCACTTACGCGTTGTGCTTCCAACTCCCACATGGATACACCCATGACGTTGGACAAAGCCAAGGTCAACGCTTTATTAGTTGCGAAGTCGTGTCCGACCCATCGCGACCCCATGGACCACGTTCCTCCAGGCCTTCCTGTCCTCTACCATCTTCTGGAGTCCATTGAAGGTCACGCCTCCTGCTTCAGGGACTCCATCCAGCCACCTCGTTCTCTGTCGTCCCCTTCTTCTCTTGCCCTCCATCTTTCCCAGCATCAGGCTCTTCTCCAGGGAGTCAACGCTAGGAAGACCCTTATTCTTTATGGGCAATGCTTTATCTTTATTCATGTCAAGAATTACATGTCCAAATGGGCACCTGAAATGTCTCCCATTCTGGCAAATGTTTGTGACCGATCAGGCACGTTTCTTATTACATGTCGTAGACAATGAACATGACTGCTCAGCTTAATTCAGTTGGCTTCCAGTGCAGCTAACCAAAGGGAATTGTTAGGAAGAACCCCACACACTGCACATGAACGCAAATCTTAATCTTTTTTTAAAAAAAAACAACAACTCAGGATTGGTGAGGAGAAGGAGAAAGATACCCCTCCCCCGTCCAAACCCTACGACTCCATACTTCACACTTACTTGATCTGCTTGGCATTTTTGTAGCGAACGAAGATGACTATTGGGTAGATGTGAATGCTGTGCAGCCGCTCAATGGCGTGAGGTGCGATGTCCAGGAGACAGTGACAGTCCTAAGGAAGGAAGAAGACAGACCTCCAGTTGGCTATTCAAAACACTTGGATGATGTTCATTCAACAATTCTTAACAAGGAATTCTGCAAGGCTGATCAGTATAATTAGTCCTATATTGTAGCAGAGGGTTGACACAACAGGAGCTCGCCTTTTGGTCTCAAGTAAATCCAAAACCAAGCTATCTATCTCTCCCTCTCCACTCCCTCCTTCCCTCTCCCTCTCCTTTATCTGTCCTCTCCCCTCCCCTCCTCTTCCACTTCCTCCCCTCTCCTCTCCCCTCCTCTCCTTTCCTCTCTCCTCTCTTTTCCCCTCCACTCTTTTTTGTCACCCTCTCCTTTCCCTCTCCCCTCTCCTACTCTCCTATCCTCCCTTCCTCTTCCTCTCCTCTCTTCTTTGCTTTCCTACTCCTGGACCCCAGAACTTAACCAAAAGAGACAGATTGTGATTGGACCACCTCTGAACTGATGTAGCCATTCCATCAAGCTAGAACATAAAACGCAGAATAAAAGAGTTGGAAGGGACCTTGGAAATCCTCTAGTTCAACCCTTTGCTCAAGCAGGAAACCCTGTTATCATTCCGGGAAAAATGGCTGTCCGGTCTTTTCTTGAGCCGTGGTAGCACAGTGGTTAGAATGCGGTACTGCCGGCTACTTCTGCTGACTGCCGGTTGTCTGCAGTTCAGCAGCTTGATTCTCGCCGGCTCAAGGTTGACTCTGCCTTCCATCCTTCTGAGGTCGGTAAAATGAGGACCCAGATTGTTGTAGGGCAATAGGCTGACTCTGTAAACTGCTTAGAGAGGGCTGTAAAGCACTGTGAAGTGGTATATAAGTCTAGGTATTATTGCTAGGAAGGAAGGAAGGAAGGAAGGAAAGGAGGGAAAGGAAGGAAAGGAGGGAAAGGAAGGAAGGAAGGAAGGAAGGAAGGAAGGAAGGAAGGAAGGAAGGAAGGAAGGAAGGAAGGAAGGAGGACCATGGTAGCGCAGTGGTTAGAATGCAGTATTGCAGGCTGACTCTGCCCACTGCCAGCAGTTTGATCCTGACCGGCTCCAGGATAACTCAGCCTTCCATCCTTCCGAGGTCAGTAAAATGAGGAGCCAGATTGTTGTGGGCAACAGGCTGACTCTGTAAACCGCTTAGAGAGGGCTCTAAAGCATCGTGAAGCGGTCTATAAGTCTAAGGGCTATTGCTATTGAATTCTTGAAGATGTTTACCTCTCTTATTTTGTTCCGTGCACATTGCGTATTTATTACAAGTGGTTTTTCTTTAAAAAAAAAATCTGAGTTTTGATTCATGTAGAACTGATCGGCTTGACTTCTCAGCCTCTACCTTGCTCTAATAATAGAAATGAATCTGTCAGTACCACACAGAGCTCAAGTATCCTCTGGTGAGGGCTGTTTCTAGTTGAACATATTGTGCAAGCAAAAGTCAACGACCACATCAATGGTTTGCTTTCACAAACTGAAGCCACAATTCTCCAGTGGTTAGCACAATTAGAGAACGAAAATGCACGGGCTGCGGTTTCCTGCCTTGTGCCTTGCCCAAGTCTATAACTATTTTTATAGATGTGAAGTCAACAAGTTCTAAAATGAGGAAGGAGAATAAATCAGCCAAGAAGCGATCAAATATACCATTGTTTCTTGGTTCTTCTGCAAGGCTGGCTGACTCTGGCTTGTTCAAGAAACCATGATTAAAACCAGCAGAGCTTTAGTCCAATGTGTCTGTTTATTTAAACACTGGCATTTTGATACAGCTGAGAAGGAACTGCTTTTGTCGGATTGCTAGAAGCTTCCGATCCCATCCTATTTCAAAACGTTTGGGACAATTTTTCTAGTCTCTTATTCGAGAAGCCCACAGGGTTAAACTACCTGAAAAATCTACAATTGTGTTCCTTTTTTTTTTTCTATCAAGAGGACAAGACTGGAGGGGGGAAAAAGCACCTTCTCGGTTATCTCCTTTATGGAAGCCACGGTTGTCACGTCAAAATGTCCACTCCTCCGTTTATAATCTATGAACAGACAGTCTTTCACGCCCCGTTCAATGGCTTGTTGCGAAGCTTTCATCACCTCTGTTTGGAAAACAAAAAAAACAAACAACGGTTTGTTCGGTTTTAGCCAAAATAGGTGGATCTCACGGAAACACATGGGTTTTTTTTTTTCCTGACCCAGGTTTCACGTGTGCAATTATTGGGTGGCCTGCATCTGGAAAAAGGCTGTCTGAGAACATCAAGGAATACATCCTGCATCTGCAAAAAAATTTCTTCCCTTTTAAAGACTCTGTAATCGCTTGGATCGGAGTGGAGTTGGGGCATCTGAATGGAGCTGAGCATTTACCGACCAGATGCCCTTCCTGATGCCTACGTGAAGCTCACAGCAAACGTTTTCTCTTTGCGCCCTAGAAGAGAGAAACATCTGCTGCTACCTTGGTTCGAACTCAACCGCCTCCTGATTGTGAGGCGAGAGCACAACTTCCAGGCCACCACACACTGCTCTTTCATAGGAAAACAGTCCCCAGAGTGAAATGCCCTGCTGTTGCACGGGCAGACTGGGTTTCCAAAACCTGAACCCTAGAGGAGGCTGGCTTCCCACCTGCTTCCCTTTGTGCCTTGCCCGAGTCTGTAACTATTTTTGTTATAGACGAAGTCAACAATTTCAGAGGGACGGGAATTAAGAGCAAAAGAGGAGAATGCAAAAACGAATGGAGAAAACAGGTCACGCTGAAGATATCTTTTCTATTTTATTTCAGAAGTTCCAGAAAGTCCTTCAAGAGATGACTAAGTTGTCAACCCTGAAGAAGGACCAGTTGCTAGGATGGATGGCCACTCGTTTTTTTCGCTTCCTAGTTTGAAGGTTCAGATAATGGGACATCCAGCAAACCATAAATAGAAGCAGCTGGCATCCTAAATAGATATTAATTGCTTTAGTGGAAGTTCTTTTCGAATAATTTAGGAAGCTCCTTCCATAAAAAGATGTTACATGGAGGCACAACGGAGACCAGGACCATCATTAAGTTGCAGAAGATAGATTCAAGCTTATATACAAGAATCCGATCGACTGAAGTTCAGCACTAAATTGCCGCACAATCGAATTCAATAGGAACTAAACTTGGATTGTTTGTGGCAATGTAAAGACTCTATGCTTATAACACATTTAACTCCGGCCCCCAGCTCTGCCTACTCTTCTCCTACATCATCTTTCTTAGGGGAGACCCTCCCCAAGCAATGGACTTACCAAGAGGACATCTGCAAAATTTCTCTGGTGATTCTTTGACCAACATATCTTTCACAGCATCAAGTAACGGCCCAAGGATAAGCACCGGTCTAGGAGATGTGCAGTCTACCTTTTGGACTCGTTGATATGCCAGGCTGACAGCATCTGCAAAGAAAGAAGAAACCGCTTGCGTTTTGTCCTGTGTTTCTCCTGGTCATGTCACACTCAAAAGCAACACAACAGGAAAAACAACAAGTTGTTCTGAGGTCCTCTTCCCAGAAGGTGGTCACAAGTCTGTTTTGTGCCAAGTCGGGGTCAGGTGCCCAATCCACCCACTGTTCTACCCACTCAAGAAACTGCTCATACAGCGAAAGAAACACACACAAACACAAATGGCTACAAGGAAATGAATGGCGAAGGATGGGCTGCATCTCACACAAGACCCGGGAAAAATATATCCGGAAAATGACTGGCTCAACTCATTAGAAGGGTTTTAAACTCAAAAAGAGGGGTGAGGGTAACCAATCTCTAAGACTTAATTCCAAGCACAAACCCCAAGTCAACCAATCAAACAATGAGACAGAAAGTGATGGGATGGAAGAAAAACTCAGACGTAACGTAGGAGACATAGGAAGCATAACTAGGGTCAACCATAAAAGACTCAGATGCCTACACACAACAAATGCTCATAGTTTAGGGAACAAACAGGGTGAACCTGAAGTACTAATACATGAAGGTAATTATTATATAGTTCAAATTACCAAAACATGGTGGGAAGAAGGACCTTCTCTTTCAAGGTACTTTGTCCTTCTAATTTGCCAAGTGCACAAAGAAAGCAGACTGGAAGTTGTGTTTGTGTGTTGACTGATCTCTCCTGAAGAACATCATGGAACCACAAACCAGGAAGACTTAACATTCGTCTTACTGGCAGCATTTGCTATAAACACAGTGACTAGGAAGTCTGACATCAATAACCTGGTTTGACCTCCGCAAAACATTTGTTTGCAAAATGCAAACATTTCAACACCATTCGAGGCGACATCATCCGTGCCCTTTGAACTGTGCTCATCTGTCAAAGCACTGGCCTTTAAATACCTTTTTAGCACCCGAACAAACAACACTAATGCTAATTTGCATCACACAGATGGTACTTAACACCAAAGACTATGGCCCAGCAACAACAACAACCAGCCAATCAAGCAGTCCGAAATCAGACCACGCCTCAGAAATATCCAAACAAATAACATTCGTACCAATTTGCATCACATAAAAAGGTATTTAAAGGCCAGTGCTCTGATGGACGAGCACAATTCAAAGCGCACTGACTATGTCTCCCCGAATGGTGACGAAACGTTTGGAACCAAATTGCCAAGCTCGGAGATCAACCCAACAGCCCAACTACCAATACTCAAACAGATTTCAATCAATAACCTGGTTGCAAAACATCAAGAAAATTTAAGACCACCAGGGAGACTTAAGCTACTGTCCTACTTTGAATCCAAAACACACAAGTGTTTGGTGTCCTCTTTCCAAGAGCCGGAGATTAAAAGCAACCATTGGGCGAGGCCAAATGCCTTGCGGAAGTGAAACGAATCCTGTTATTTCTAAGACACCAAGTACTTTCTTTGCTAAGGCAAATTTAAGCTGTTTCGCAGAGACTACAGCATACGGAAGCAACTGAACGTGTTAGGAAAAGTGCAAAAAGTAAGATCACTTGCAGGAAAATCACTAGGATAAAGTCACTAGGCCTACACAAATCTGTTATTTAAAAAGTTAACTTCTTTTTAAGACTGAAATTCAGTTATGGGCCCCTACAACTGGAAGGCTTAAAAAGCCCCTCCAGAACTATAGCTATGCGTTTTCGATTGTGCAGCCTCCTTCTGCGTTTGCAACGCACAAAGCTTGAGTAGACAAGTCCTACGGATGGTTCTGCCCTGCTTTAACTGAACACAACGGTCACTTGCCATCCAGGAAAGGGATGGAGTCGTTGCTGATGGTGTCGAGGGCCAGCAGATCTTTGCCGTCTTTGGACCCGCTGCGCTTGTGTTTGTGTTTCCTTCTGAAGAAGGACCTACGAGCCGCAGCCGACGAGGTCTTTGAGGAACTGCTCTCGTCTTTGGCCTCGGACATGCTGTGTCTCCGGTAGAATTCCTGCTCCATTCTGCAAGGAAAGGGTTGGGGAAGGGTCAGGCAGCTGGTGGAAGAATGGCCACAAGAAAATTCCTCAAGAAAAGAGTTGGTTGTAAGAGAAAGGCAGTCCCTGGCTTACAGCCACAACTGAGCTCAATGTTTATTTTCCAAAGGGGGAACATTGGTTAAGTGACGTTTGCCCGATCAAAATTGGAAGACTTGGCAACTGACTCACCTTTAGGACGGTCCTAGTGTCCTGGGGTCATGTGATCCCCTTTTGTGACTTTCCGACAGGCAAAGTCACTGGGGAAGCTGGATTCATTTAACAACTGTGGCAAACTTCACTTAACAAATGTCTCACTTAGGAAAATAAAATTTTGGCCTCCATTGTAGCCGTTATGTCGATGACTGACTACCTGTAGATTTTTCTCTTCTACTTGAGTACATTTTCATCCAGACGGGACCAAACGCAGAACAATCCATCTAATTCTGCAACAATTCCTGGGTTGTTTTTTTTTTTTAAGGACACCGATTATGTGGCATCCTCAATCTACCTAATTCCCAAAATCATTAAAAAAGGCCCAGTTGCACAACTGCCATGGGTGGGTCCCCAAGGAAAGACCTGATGTGGCACGGAGAGCAAAAAGGGTAAATTTGGCAGCCTAGAATAAGACACGCTGGTAGCCGATTTAAATGCCACGAAGTCGGTCTTTTAATTGAAGCCATGTCACCGCTTCAGCCCTCCTTCTCAAAAATTCCTGATCTTTGAAAAAAACAACAACAAAACATTAATTTAGTGGATTAAAGAAGGACGGCGTCCCCAACCTCAGGGTCCAAATTAAGCTCAGATGCCACAGCCGTGGAGAGAACGTGCCACAACATGATTAGGGGAGCTGCTGGTTTGGCTTTTTGTCTGAGATCAGAACATAAAAGTCCGTTCCATTTTTAGGTGGGGAGAAATTGCCAACGCCACCAGCGTGACTGGCTTCCCCCCCTTTCTCCCAGCTGTGATGGGAAACTGGAGATGGCCTGTCCCAACCCAGTCATGAAGCTTAGAAGGCTTGAATTTATTTTTACTTCCTTCAAATAGCTTTATCCGGGCAACGCCTTAAATCCCATTGAACTCGCCAGGGTGCAATTACATGTATTTGCTGGGGATCTGTCCTCTTTCCAGCTTCTGAGCGTTTTCATCCAGCTGCCAAGCCATCCAACAGCCGAAGTTCCCTTGGGGCAGAGTGTCATCAACGTACAAAATGTCATCTTTTTTGAAACTCAAGTCCTGCTTGACTTCTGCCAGTCGGTCATAGAGGGCCCTGCAAAGGAGAGGGAGATAGACGACCATAGGCAGTTTGGTTTAATCATCTCAAATATTTAATATTATTTAAGTCGGTCCTAAAGTCACCTTCCTGTTACAGCACAGAGTTCTTTACATCTGGCAAATATTCCTATGAAGTTGTCGTAATAACGTGGCTAAGTTTTCTGCGCTAAACCAGGAAGAAACGCTTGTGTGCATGAACAGCTGATGAAAACACTAGACGAAATTTTTAAGTACCTGACATAGAAACCATCTCCAGGTAAATCTTTGATCCTGTTGAATTCCTCAATTCTATACTGAGCTTTTATTCTGATCGTGTCCCCCGGTTTGAGCATTTCAAGGTAAGCTTCCTCTGCTGTTTTATTTCGCATGTCAACGGATCCGTACTGTTAAAAAGACACAAAACAATAAAACAACGCCACGTGTTTAAGTGTTGCTGATGAACCTCATTGCCAACCAGAATTGGTAATTAACACTAACCTTTTCAGATGATCTAAAATGTCACCAAGTCTCACCTCCAAATGTATCTCAGGTGTATTTATCAAGATTACTCATCCAAGTAAGGTTTTCAGTAAAAAAAAAAATATGAAAATTGTTTGGATAGTCTGAGAGCCGTTGGGAAGAACCAATTCTTGCCCTACAGACTGCAGGGGTTTTTCTCCCCCAAATGAAAAGCATCTTGTAAATGAAGGCTCAATCATCCAGGCCAAAAATGGAAGTTTATTTGGATGAGTTAACAAAATGTCTCAGTTTTAATAAACTTTGGTCCAGTTGCCATGAGTTTACCTTTTTTTAAAAGATCCTTTTGGCCTGCATCATTGACTCTCTGCCTACCCAAATTTTCATTTTGACTGAAGAGGTTACCTGGGTGTGTAAACAAAATGTCTCAGTTTTAATAAACTTGCCATGATTTAACCTCTTCAGATATCCAAATCCCATCACTCTTGTCGGTGTGGCTAAGAATTATGATCGACAAAGTTCTAGAGAGGATCCATAAATGTTCCCTTAACTTTTCCCCGGGATCCCCGGTAAATTTTGGTCCGGCTGCCCTGATTTAACCTTTTGAGATACTCAGAAATAGTCTAAAACTGGGGGACAAAAATATGACGACCCCCAAATTTGTTCTTTGTGACTTAGTTCACACCATCACCCTCTTTTTCATGGTATCTGGAACTTCTTGGTCCCTCTTCTTCTAACATGGACAGCGTACCTCCACTATTAGATCTCCTGGCATCAGGCCTTCAGGTCCTTTGGCTGGGCTGTCATCTTCTAGATCAGAGACAAATATTCCATGCACGTTCCCACCACTGATTTGGATTCCGACCTCCGCCTGAGGTTTCTTGATGTTCACCGTTCTGGGTTCAGGTGTCCTTTTAATAGTGTCAGCAGAACTCCTTTGAACAAGAGACAAGAGTGAAGAAGGCCTCTGGGTCAAACTGACCCTCTGTGGCTGCTGCTCCCCTAACTCTTCCTGGGAGGGGAGGGATAAAGGTACAAGGATGCTCCAGCGGTGGACTTTGGGAGCCTCGGGACAGGAATGAAAATGTTCCCCACTCAACCTTTGGATGCCAGGATCCATGTGGAAACTCAACTCTTTGTCCCTTGCCCAGAAATTTCAAAAAATTCAAGCATCCTTTAAGAGAGAGGAGAGAGAAGGACAGAGAGAGAGAGAGAGAAAGGAAGAAGAAAGAGAGAGAGGAGAGAGAGAGGAGAGAGAAAGGAGAGAAAGAGAGAGACAGAGATAGATAGGAGAGAGAGAGAGAAGGGGAGAGAGAGAGGAGAGGGAGAGACAGGAGGAGAGAAAAAGAAGGCAAGAGAGAGAGGAGAGAGAGAAGAGAGAAAGAGAAGGAGAAATAGAGAAGAAGAGAGAGAGGAGAGAGAGAGAGAAAGGAGAGAGAGAGGAGAGAGAGAAAGGAGAGAGAAAGAGAGAGACAGAGAGAGAGGAGAGAGAGAAAGAAGGGGAGAGAGAGAGGAGAGGGTGAGAGAGGAGGAGAGAAAAAGAAGGCAAGAGAGAGAGAAGAGAGAAAGAGAAGGAGAAAGAGAGAAGAAGAGAGAGAGGAGGAGGGGGAGAGAGAGAAAGCACCTGAAAGAAGGACAAGAAGCAACGGATGGAAACTAACCAAAGAGAGAAGCAACCTGGAACTAAGGAGAAACTTCCTGACAATGAGAACAATTAACCAGTGGAACAACCTGCCTCCAGAAGCGGCGAATGCTCCAACACTGGAAGTTTTTAAGAAGAGACTGGACAGCCATTTGTCCAAAATGGTATAGGGTTTCCTGCCTGAGCAGGAGGTTGGACTAGAAGACCTCCAAGGTCCTTTCCAACTGTGTTTATTCTATATATATTTCTATACATCATCAATACCTTCATGACGTTACCTAGTTTAGGTCATGAAACGTCTGCAAGGAAACAACCAGGCTTAGAGAGCATCAAGAACCTGTCAGAAATTAGTCTCAAACACGGGAGGGATCCACCACTGGGGCAGGCTCTGCTAGATCACAAAGGGTTCCTACTGAAATAAGCGCCGTCTGTTCTTGGGCTGGGAAGGTAGCTTACCTAACCGAATTGCGGGGACTGGTGGTGGGCGTGGTCTCCTTGGAGGGAGGGGTCATGGTCCCTTCATCTTGTTCGCTCACAGTATCAATTATGGAATGGCTGTCCGGAGTTGGGCCTCCACTGCCTTGTGGAGGGGAATTGCTACTCACTGGTTCCAGGCGGGAGCTTTAAAGGAAAGAAGGGGGCCACAGCAGAAGGGAATTAAAGGCGATTAAAATGCGACATCTTTCAAGAACGGCACAAATTCTCGGGGTCTAGAGCAGACGGTTGTCTTCTTACTGCCTCATGCTGGCTGGGGAATTCTGGGAGTCGAAGTCCAGAGGCTTTCAAGTTGCCAACGTTGGGGAGCGCTGAATTTATTTGAGGGGCTGCCACAAAGAAGAGGAGGGGGCCAACGTATTTTCCAATGCACCAGAAGGCAAGACGAGAAACAATTGGATGGGAACTAATCAAGGAGAGAAGCAACCTGGAACTAAGGAGAAACTTCCTAACAGTGAGGACAATTAACTAGTGGAATGGCTTTCCTTCAGAAGTTGTGGGATGATCCATCACTGGAGGTCTTTAAGAAGAGACTAGGCAGCCACTTGTGGTATAGGGCAGGGGTAGGCAACCTTGGCTCTTTTATGACTCGTGGACTTCAATTCCCAGAATTCCTGATCTGGGAGTTGAAGTCCACGAGTCATAAAAGAGCCAAGGTTGCCTACCTCTGGTATAGGGTCTTCTGCTTGAGCAGGGGTTGGACTAGAAGACCTCCAAGATCCCTTCCAGCTCTATTCTGATTGACTGAATGCCTTTGAACTTTACATGAAACTGTTGTTTAGTCCACCATGGGTTTCTTGGGAAAAGACTAAGGAAGCCAATTTCTTTCCATTTCAAGCCAGACTTCTTCAAAGGAGGAAAAACCTCACTCATAAAGTGAGAATTAAACACAGTTTTGCACACTTTTAGCTCTGCCTCCGTTCCCTACAGCTTCAAGCTGATCAACAGATGCTACAACTTGCTATTTAAAAACAAAAAAAACAGAAAAAACCCTTGCTTTTTCTCGGTTAAGTTCAAAGGTATCCTCGTTTGTTTTTTTCTGGTCTCCAGTTCAAACATATACCCTTGGAAAACAATGTTCTAAAGCGAGTAACCTTGTTTATCTATTTTGTAAACCAATAAAATTAAAAGGATCTTTTGCAGAGGTCTATCAAGAGGACTTGTGACTCCATCTCTCTTTTCGGCTTTCTCATCCTGCCTCTGTTACTGTAATCCAGGGGTCCCCAATCCCTGGGGCTGTGGCCCGCTACCGGGCTGCAGAAGCGGCAGGCGAGCATGCATGCACACATGCGCATCCCCACTTGTGTGAGCAATGGGCGAGTGCGTGTGTTGTGGCTCCGTCTTGTGAGCCCCTCTTCTCGGAGGAAGAAGGCTCCGAACATGAAGGAGAGGAGATGGCCAGGCCTCCCTCTCCAGGACCCTCCTCTTTGGCAATGCCTCAGGTGTCTCCCGACGGAGAAGAGATTGACCAGGAGCCAGGTGTTTCTCAGA